ACCCCTGCTCTAGATCCACAAGGTTGTCATGGCAAAAACAAACTGGTGAAACTGAGACTTGTCAAATATTTCCTTGAAGTTTTGTGCAAACCTTATTAAAATTAAAATAAATTAATTATTCTGCAAAGCTCAGAATAAACACTTTGCATGATGGGATGCTTAAGTACTAATGCCGCCTACTTTAATGAGTCAGAAATATATGATTGAGAAACAGAGGTGGGACGTAACAAAGTGCGAATTCTTTCTTGCTGTACAATTTCAAGGTATCTGTACTTTACTTTCTGTATCTGTACGAGTATTTTTCTGATAACTTTTTACTTTTACTCCCTTCATTTTAACACAAATATCTGTACTTTCAACTACTTCCATTTTCAAAACAGGCTCAGTACTTTAGGCTCAGTGGTATCATTTACAGCGTTTATACTCGTAGGTTAAAGTAGGCATATGTTGTAGTCAGCTTCTAGCTAGCACTACAGATGAGGAGTAAGCATGAAGGGAGTAGCGTTTCTACTCGACATAACATTTCTATCAGCTCAACAAAATCAGCAAACACACTGCTGAACAATGGGCTGTGATGTCAGTTTCTTGGTCATTAATATGCAAAATGTCATGACTTGACATAAAGGAGAAGGATGAGGATGTACACATCCTGGACAGGGAGGAACGCTGGTTTGAGTGGGGAGTCAAGGAGGCCACTTAGGTGAAAAAGGAAAGACCATCTCTGAATCGAGGAGGGGGCCTAAGGGTACATCTTTCACCATCTTACAATGTTGTGATTGCAGCCATTCCCCAACTGCCCATTGATCAAGGGCCATGCCAATTTGCATATTAATGATCAAGAAACTGATCTCATTGTTTGCCCATGGTGCTAGTTTCAGTGAATTTGCGATGTACTTTTTATAAGGATGGGGAAACCTGCATTCATCTGAGACTCAGGAAGTCACTTGGGTGATTGACTGAAAACATTACAACCAGATGATGTGTTTTATGGGTTACATGAAAATACTCTGTAGTTTGTGAAGGATAAAAAGGTTAGTTTGCATTAAAATGGTAAATTCACAGTAAAACACTGCTACACAGTGGCTGTGGTGGTTAGTGCTGGTTTACATCAAGTGTGATTAATTTACATTTAAGCTGATGATTCTGAGCAAAGTCACCCTCTTGTGGTCTAAATAACACATTGAAGCTAAGCACATTCATTAGAATTAGTATTTAGATTCAAATAACATTTGTATTCTCATATGTCTGAATAATTAATATTTTATTCTGACAC